CTGGAAAGAGAGGTAGGTTGCTTGCACGAGAACAAAGACAGGGTTGGAGAGCTGCTCGTGAGAGGGCTACCTTTTGAGACCTAACTTTCGACGACCCATGAGAGAGTATTTAAGCTTGAGGTATAGGATGCATGTTTGATAACAGTGTAGAGACCAAGTTTTTTTGGCGATCCGTGAGAGAGCCGCTAAGTTGGAGATAGGCTGTCTGTTTGAGAACAGTGCAGAGACCAAACTTTTTGGACGACCCACGAGAGAGCTGCTAAGCTGGAGATAAGCTGCCTGTGTTGAGAACAGTACAGAGGCAAGCCAAGTTTATGGCAACCCGTGAGAGAGTCATAAAGCTGAATATTTAGGCTGCCTATTTGAGAACGGTGCAGAGGTCAAGTTTTTGGCTACCCGAGAAAGTTGTTAAGCTGGATATTAAGACTGACTGTTTAAGAACAGTGCAAAAGTCAAGCTTTTTTCGACTTGTGAGAGAGTCGCTAAACTGGATATTGAGATTGCCTATTTAAGAACAGTGCAAAAGTCAAGCTTTTGGCGACTCGTGAAAGAGTTGCTAAACTGGTTATTGAGGCTGTCTATTTGAGAATAGTGCAGAGGCAGGCCAAGATTTTGGAGATCCACGAGATGATTTACCTCGCCTGGACCTGTTGATTTCCTCAACATTCATATATTTTTGAATTTTTGCCAATAGTTTTGACATGCTCTTTGATGGTCGTTTCATTACTAAAAAAAGGAATCTGGATAAGTGAAGGCCTCCTAGAAAGGTGGTCATGGTGACTTTGTTATTAGGCTCCTCGATTTGGAGGACCTCCTCGTTAAAACGAGTGAGGTAACTCTTCAGACTCTCATCTCGATCTTATTTGATGTTGAGCCTATAGGTGGCAGCCTGGGCATCAGGAGCTAGAGGTGCAGTTGGGGCTGCCTGGGCGCCAATTTAGGCATCAAGAGCTGGAGGTATATTTGGCTCTACCTGGGCATCAGGAGCTAGAGGTGTAGCTTGGGCGCTTGCAGGGGCTGCCTAGGCGTCAACCTGGGCATCAGGAGCTGAAAGTGCAGTCGAGGCTGCCTGGGCATCAGGAGTTGGAAGTGCAGCTTGAGCGCCTGCGGGGGCTATCTGGGCACCAGCCTAGGCATCAGGAGCTGGAGGTGCAGTCGGGGCTGCTTGGGCATTAGAAGCTGGAGGTACAGCTTGGGCGCCTGCAGGGGCTGCTTGGGCGTTAGCTTGGGCATTAGGAACTGGAGGTGCAGTCAGGGCTGCCTGGGCATTAGGAGCTGGAGGTGCAGCTTGGGCACCTGCTGCCTAGACGCCAGCCTGGGCATCAGGAGTTGGAGGTGCAGCTTGGGCGCCTGTAGGGGCTGCCTAGGCATTAGGAGCTGAAGGTGGGACACCTAGGGAGGAGACCTAGGCACCTAAATTGACCTGGGCACCTAGTTTGGGCACATGAGAGTCTTTGCTAGGCTTCTCGGTGTCCCCGTTGGGCATCTAGGCATCCTTGCAGTTCCCTGCTTTTATTGGCAACGTCCACCAATGAACTGTGCCACAAATGATCTACTCAATTCGGCGAAGGAAGTTATGGGGGCCGAGGTGAGTTTGGCGAATCATTGTCGCACTGATCCCTTCAAGGTAGTTGGGAATGCCCTACACATAATTTCATCGGGGACGTTGTGCAGTTACATTAAGGTCTTTGTAAGTTTCGAAGTGATCAAGTGGATCCTTCATTCTGTCAAAGGTCTCTACGGATGGCATTTTGAACTTTTGAGGGAGGGGGGTAGTTCGTGACATCAAGTTTGAATGGCGTGTCTGTCCGCCTTACGAGGTAGTCCACTGTCTCGGGTCTTTGGGCCTTCATGGCATTAAAGACGTCACCTAGTTGATTGCGCACTTCCTTAATTTTCTTATCTTAGTGATTGGGGGCTCCTCTAGAATGATTATGAAAATGACTTCCATGCTCCATACTTTGGTTTTCGTTATCATCTTCTTGGAGATGAGGGTCTTCACCATAGGAAGTAAGAGGAGCTGGAGGTCTCTCATGATGGACTTCCCCTATGTGGGGCTCCTAGACCTGCATGGGCGCCCAAATGGGGAGCAGCAGGGCGTGGAGCTCTTTGATGTCGTGGAGCTCCTTGAGGTCCTCCAACCTGTGCTCCTCCTTGTTTAGCGAACATGAGTTGCAGGATCTATTGGTTTTGTGCCACCAGCTGCTGCATGGTCTCCAACATTTGCTGAGAATTTGGAACTCGAGCATTTGAAACATGGTTGGTAGGTAGAGGAGCAACCTCCTCCTCTCATTGTAGATTATCCTCAGGTTGATTCATGGATCTAGTGGTGATTGTCATAGATTCAACAGATGGAGTGTTTAAAAGTGAGAATTTAGTCGATTTCCACAGACGGCGCCAAACTAATGATGCACAAAAATAGTTTTGCACACCACCTGTCAAGTGTGAATAATAAATGCAAGAGTAAAAGTAAGGAGATAGAGAGACACAACCAATTTATAATGGTTTGGTCAACGTGACCTACGTCCACTCTTGAATGACTCTTGGTTGCCTGGTCCTTTATTAGCTCATGGGTGCAGGAATAGAGAGTACAAGCTTAGAGAGAGAGAGGAGAGAGTCGTGCTCAACAGAGTGAGATCTGCCCCCCAAGTGTTGGTGGGACTTACAATTTATAGTCGCCCTCCTAATAGATTTGGGCAAGATATTAGTAAGTAGTTGACTAGTTTGTTGGATCTGAGAACTCTTCTCAACGTGCTAGGCAGTTTGCGGTGCTCTCCATGAAATTCGGTCAAAGGATAAGGTGGGGTGTTGACCATCTCTAGGGTAGCGAGGATAAGGCTCTGGATGACCTTTCTTGCTCCCTTAGCTCTTTGAGCTTTTGAGCTTGACCGGGCTGATCACACTGATGGGCTTGACCGGGTTGGCCACACTGGGCTAGATTCGCTAGATCTCTTGGAGTCAGACTATAAACTTGAACTGGGCTTATAACATGAGATGGGCCTTTGGGCTTGACCCATCATCAACCATTGATTTCACTGTGGGTCTCAACATTTATTGAGACTCACTACTTATTTAATAGTTGATATTATCAAGTATAATTTTTAAGTCTAATTTTTAAATTAATCTAACATTACTCATCACCAAATAAATCTATAAAGAATGATCAAATTCTAAATTTCTCTAATAATAATATGTCAGATCAGCCTTATTTGCAGCTTTTGATTAGGTCGAACACTGCCATTTTGTGGGGGTTGTTCGGCTAACTGGCCCACTAAGTCACCGGGCTTCCTGGTTGCCCAAAGACCACAAAGCAAAATTCGTGAAGCCCTCCAACACCATGTTGGTTGATATGGTACGGTCGTAGTAGTGGCAGTGGACCGGGGTGTGGGAGTAGTCTAAACTTTTATATCCATTTAAAAAAATTTGTCCATTTTTAATCCATCCCGTTAATGGGATAAGTTTTAATCTCTATCCTGTCTCGAAAATAAATTTTAATCCCCATTCTCTCTTCCGTCATTACCACTTGTCTTTGTTCTTAACAATTAATTTTTATAGATTTAAAATTTTTTTAAAAAAAATATAATAACAATTAAAATACAAGCTGTATGTATGTATTACATGATATGACGAGGCGGGAGACAAAATTCATTTCTTCCGCACCTCCATCTTCAAACGAGTTTGTACGAATATTCTTGTATACCAGTGTTATCAAAATTGGACCAGTTGAACGGTGAATTGGGACTTAAAACTATTCTGTTCCTTAATTAGAAACTGTTGGACAATCAAAAAATTGGTCAGTTCAAAGCTTAAATCCAGCCAGCAGCCTTTCATATTCTCAGTCTCGTCCCACTTCGTCTTCTCCGTCTCGAACAACAGCGAACATAGATCTCAAAACACCACAGATCTAGAACACTATAGATCTAAAACTCCGCCTAAGGTGTGTAAGCCTTCTTCTTCTTCTCTTTTTCTCTCTCTCCACGCTGACACAGTGAAACACACCCACAAAAATGAAGGATAAATTGTTGGGTCTTCTTTCTCACTCTCTCGCATACACACACGATTAATATGAATAATTGAATATAAGTTAAATAGTTAATCCACACTTTTTTTTACCACGAATACACGCGCACACACACAACACATTCAACACTTAAGAGTTAAGACACACACACAATACAATATTTTGATTTTTTTATTGTGATAGTAAATTCTTAGTTAAATTATTAATTTATAAATTTTATTATATAACCGGTCCGACCAATTAACTCAACGATTGTACCAGTGAACTATTGATTCGATCTCTCTATTGGTTCAATGTCCGGTTCAGTTTTAATAATGTTATTTTATACGTTCACCATCCAATACATATGATCCATCTCTAATTTACGATTTTTGGACGAATCCTGTTTTTCATTGGTTCAGTATCATCCCTATACGATACTATAAAAAATATATGTATCATATCAAAAGTTAATTATAATAATAAATTTTGATTTGATTAAATTTATGATTAGTTAAAAAATAATAAAAAATAACAAAGTTTTTCAATATGACATTTAGATATGAAAGTGATTTTTTTGTTACATAATATGTAAGTTTACGTTGACTATTCTTAATCACGGTAGTGTGAACAAATTCAAAACATGTTTTTTAAGAAATAAAGCTCCCATAATTGATTTATTAAAGGCCAAATTCATCCGGTAAACCACATGGTAGTTGGTACGACGACTATGGATACGGTCTACGCCACAACGCAGTGTGTCAAAGTGGACATATGTTTAGGTATTGTCTCGTTCATAGCTTTTTAATCTTTAACAATTGATCTTACTTTTCCTCATCACAAATATAAATCTGAAAAAAAGAAGGGGGTTTTCAATTTGATCGGAATCACGCAATAGTAAGATTTGATTCCCTTCGACCCATCGAGTAGTGCTTTAATGCTCGATATATCTTCAATCTGGGTTCCTCTTTTAGGTGTTTGAGAGAGAGAGAGAGAGAGGATGGAGAGAGTGAAGAATATGTTGAAGCCGAAAGTAAATCCGCAACAGCAATTGAGAGATTGGCAACGCCGTCTCCGTCAAGAGTGCCGCAACATCGAACGCCAAATCCGAGGTATATTACTCTTCTCAATTTCCTCCTCAATCTTTTTTTTGGGGGTTTTCTATTGCCTCTTCGCTTGCATTTATCTTTTTTTTTTTTTAAGAAGTGAAATTCCCTTGTTTCTGTGGATCTGGTCAGATATACAGAGGGAAGAGAAAAATGTACAGAAATCAATAAGAGAGGCTGCTAAGAGAAATGACATGGGCTCTGCTAAGGTACTGTTTCTCCAACGGCTCCCATTTTTTTTTTTTTTTTAAATTTCTCATAGTTTCGGTTATCATATATTTCCAAGATTTCCTTTTTCCAAGATTGTTCAAATCTCATTAAGTTGAGAAAATGATATGCAAATTCTTTGCTGAAATTCTGGGGTTTTGTTTTTTGTTACTAAAATATATGTTTATGCGTAAAGTGTAATCTGAAATTACATGAACGGTTTCTTTTTGTTATGAGTTTTGGAGAGTCTGTAAATAGTAGCTTGGTTTAAGATTGTAATGATCCAGCATAAGGGACAGTGTTAAAAGTCCTTATTTTTCTATATTAGACATAGATTAATTAGTGTAGGGTAAGATTGTAATTATCCTACTCAATTATAAGTAAGAGAGTGACCGGCAACTTGGCCCATACACAAGTGGTTACTCCCAGCCTCTTCTTCTCTCAACTTCTCTAACCTTAATACTAGTTTTTCTATTTTAACTGTAACAATCATACAAATCTAATAATAAATCATATTTATTTTTGGATATGTTGCAGATAGATATCCAAAATAAATATACTTTTGGTATGGAAGTGGATATTTGGTATAACATATATAATTTTTAGTTATAATGTTTGCCCTTTCTTGAATTCAGATACAATGATACAAATACTTCTTAGCAAACCAATTGTTAAATATTGATTTTGATTGCTTTAGTTAGTCATTTTCACTTTGTGGATATAACATAATTAGACGATCGGTAGTTTTTTGAAAGTAAATTGCTTATTTTTATAGTTATCAATAGTTATATGATATTTTTGGATTTTCAGTATATTAGATCTTCATAGTTTGGACATAAAACTTTCAACTATCCTGCATTGCATCACCTATATTGTAGAATATCCCGCAAACTTTTAGAGTGTCTATCAATCAGTGTTGTGATGACGATCTTATGCTTATGCCGTCTCTTTGTGACTGCATTGGCAAAAGGTGAAAGCTATGTTGCTCTTCATTTAGATTCATCCTTTATTTTACATTCCTCCGTGAAATTTGTCTCAGGCACTTGCAAAAGAACTTGTGAGATCTAGAAGGACTGTGAATCGTCTTTATGAAAATAAGGCACAGCTGAATTCAATATCAATGCATCTCGGAGAAAGTGTTGGTATAAATCTTCTCATATCTGTGCTTCTTCTGTACTCTAGCATATGTATCTTTTTTTGCTGAATTAAACATGTTGCTCGTGGGACTGCAATTGCTTTTTCACCTTTCTTAATTGTATCAAGTGAAAAAATTATCACATGTCCTTCCTTAGGTTAAAATATAAGATATGATTATAAGCTCCAATCAATTTTTGTATGGGATTTGTTGCAGTTAATATGGTAATCACCTAATTGAATCTGGATTGAAAGTGCCCTATTCGGATGCATAGTTCCTAACTTCCTAGCGAGGGGAGAAGTAAGTGGAGTTTTATAACAGGATGGTTGAAGTGGTTAGTGATGTAACATTGTGCATAATTTACTTATGTATTCCCAGTTAAAGGGGACAAAGGTTACTTACCCCCCACCCAAAAAAAAAAAAAAAAAGAATGGGATAGTGGTTAACCAAAAAAATAAAGAAAAAAGAATGGGACAGAGTTTTTTTAAGAAAATGACTAACCTCATTATGGTGCAACATAGTATGCTGATTCAAATTACATGTGTACCTATATCGTTTGAGTCAGCAGAGACTGGAGAGTACTGGAAAGTGTGAAGAGGAAACGTATTCCAGTTTGTTAAAGCGGATTTGGAGTTATTTTACTTCTAATGGGATGGATTTTAAGCAGGTCAATGTAGTGGCAGACAGTGTGGCAAAGACAGATACAGCTGTTTCTGCAGGTCAATGAAGATGCATACCTTGTTATACCTGGGAAATTTTGACACCTTTGACACATAGCAGCTGACATGTGAGCACAAGTCGTTTATGCAGTTAAGCCAGCTCCACTTAGCTTCCTACCAGTTTTGATGCTAAGTAGACGGGACCCTTCCTTGCATCATATTTGACCAAAGCTCCATACATTCATTCCACCTGAAATTAAGACTTAAAAATTTCCCAAACAAATAGAAAGGTCCTGCAAAAGTTCAGCATATAATGAGTTTCCTTCATGCAGCATGTGATTTCCCAATTTGTATCCTTGGGTAAACTCGCAAGTTTCCTATTAATTTGCTAATAAAATTTTCTTCAGATTTGTTTATTTGTAGCTTTGGAAAAATACCTACAGAAGGTATTTTCAGAAATATAATCACGCGTTGGGCGATTCATCACTATAAACCCAAATGAGCCTTATTTTTAATTGGGAAACTTCTTGTTGGATTTATTTATTTGGGGGAGGTATTCATCTTTGTTGTATATCTTTACATATTGGGCTGTTATTGTTTCAGATTGATTATCTATGTTCACTTATTGGAATTTTTTAGATGCTATCTATTTGTTTTGACGTGCTTCAATTGTATTCTTCACATAATTTTCATATTTTGCAGCTATTTCCCGCACGGTGGGACATTTATCCAAGAGTGCTGAAGTCATGAAGCTTGTCAACAACCTTATGAAGGCGCCGGAAGTGGCTGTCACAATGCAAGAATTTAGCAAAGAGATGACTAAGGTATCCTTTTTTAAGTATTTCTTGCAACAAATGGACAAATGGTTCCTTTCTTATTATTATTTTAGTTCTTCGCCTTCTCCAGGGAGAAAAATGACATTTTAGGCTATAATGCTTCTTTTGAATATTATACATCATTTCATTGAGATAAGCCCACTGTCATGCTTCTCGATTTCGTTAATAAATTTAAAGTGGTATTGGCAGCAGGGACCAAAATCTTTTTCATCCTATTATGAGCTTTGTTATATGATAGAATGTGTTATTTTATAGATGAACTAGTTATTGCCCGTGTACACCGAGTAACAAAAAAAATTGTCAATTAATGTCGACCCATTATTTAAAAAAAATGATAAAGTTTTCTCTAAAGACATAACCCTGAACAACATCGACTTGTATACACAATTTATATAATCAAATTAGTAATTTATATCAAGAAACATGACTCATAATTAAAACAAATATGCATAAGTTGAGTAACTAAACAAAAAATCATTACACGAAATAGGGAAAAACCCTATACCGTTTGTACATTGTCTAGTTGCTTCACAACCAAGATTAAATCTTTGGCATTGTCTAATAATTTTTTCTGTAATCACATTAATTCATCCAATGCCAAAATTAATGGAAAACTTTTATCTACATAGCATTTCGTAGCAACTTCTCCCACTTTGTACAAACATTGGATACAGAAAGCTAACTCAAATTAGGCAACTGCATGCATCACAGTTCAACACAATTATATATTTTCTAAACAAATTTAGAGTTTGTTTAACTTAAGAAGGTTTGGGGGTTTGATTGACTTGAAGAAGGTTTCTTCTTGAACTTGAACAAATAATTTGTTTCTCACATTCTTTGAAACACATTTTCTAAATATAACAAATATCTGCAGTAATAGAATTTAGATCTGCATATATCAATGAAAGTTCATTTTTTCAGGCATAAACAGATTAACGACAAATAGGTGGTTGGCCTCTCTATGAACCTATATTAATGCACGAACAAAAAGTATAACTGCAACAATTTTATTCTAATTGATCATTTTACGAAAATCTCCAATTTTCGAGTAAATCTCCACCTCAACTCATAAGCAATGGCCCGTGCCTGGAGCCACTATATAGAGTCAACCAAATCTCCACCTCAACTAAATCAATAAATAACCTACGAATGTATCAACTTTCTAGCACAACAATCCCAGATCACATATTCTTATGCAGAAAAATAGAAACCAACAACAAATACTAAAAGATAGCACTCCAATAATCAATTGGCAAGAAATAAGTTTGGCCAATCAAAAACAAAGAACACAAACAAATATTTGAAACCATAGACATTAGATTCACAACAAACAGGGTGGAAAGGGCAGATTTATAATTCTAATGAAAGAGAAGGCGACAAAAATATTAGAGAGAGAGAAAAAAATAAGAGAGAATTCATGTGGCAGATGTACCATCAAAAGCAATAAACCTATACCATCTCCAATCTAAGTATAAAGCTGTACAAATTACAAAACCACCATGCAAAATCAAGAAGCCATGATATGGCGGCTCCAGCTATTAAGCCTTCTAGCTGAAATTTTAAACATGAAATCAAGACAATCTTCTTAAACCAAACAATGAAGGGAAAGAAATGATTACAAAAATTTAAAACCATTCAACTGGCGGAGGGGGTGAACATGTTTAGAAAACTGTGCCTATTTCTCAACACTTTGAACTCTGTTGGCTAACAATTTGGGTGCCATGACAAATGATGAAATAATCATCATAATAACATAACAACTGCATAAGTTTCCCAATACAATTTTTTGCATTTCAATTATTGTGGTTCACCCTAGTTTTTTAAAGTTCACATGAACATCATCAAAATAAATGCACAGGATATCTTCTTATAATAAGCTTTACCATAAACGGTAACCTTTAAGACTAAAATGGCAATCAAAAATTGATTGTAGATCATAAAGTTAAACTGCAAGAAAGAACCTATATGAATATTTGTGCCTCTGTGATGATCATAGACGTGAACGACAGAGAAACTCCAAAATTTATGTATCCATTACATAAAAGAAAGTCACAAGCAGAAGATAATAAATGTTCATACTCACCACCACAGTTTCCTTTATATGTTCTTTCGAAAGCCAAATCAGGACAGTATCCCTCCACCTAGCAAGTGTATGGTTCCTCACAACAATATAATCGTTTTGTTCTTTCTCACCCAATTTACTAACAACCCCAGCTTTGATTTCCACTTTGAGCAATGCATCTATAGGGAAGCCTAGAGAGAGTGCTATCATGGCCTCAGTTTCGGTTTCTTTCTCCAAATCCCTTGTTACAAAATCATCATCGAATTTCGGTTGGGATTCCAATCCAATCCCCTCTCTTCTAATCCAACAATATTCACAGTTATGTACTAAAGGATTACATCAATGCCAACGAACAAACAAAAATACACAGACACATTGATGTTTGGACAACAGGCAGAGCATGGACCAATTGATGCTTCAAGTCGAAACTCGAAAAGCTCAATTCAAAAGCTTGATGACCTCAGTGATATAAGCTTAATGTTACCAACTTAGACAACCTAATTCAGAAAATAACACAAAATTACTGCCGAGTTCGCAACAATTCACAATCGTCACATTTGATTCCCCTCAATATTGAATCAAAAAATATTTTCAAAATTCGCATCAACAGAAGAATCAATAAGGAAGGAACTTTTCCTTCTCCAAATTTGCCACAACCAAGAAAACAAAATAGCAAATCCTCTAAAAATTCTTTTTTCAAAAATTTGAAGCAAAATCAAATCGTGAGGGCATCGGAGGGGTGTGATGGTGGACTGTTGTGTTTCTAACATTTTGTTGAGCATTGGTGGGTGTGACGGTAGATTATTGTGTTTTTGACATTTTGTTGAACATGTGGTGGTTATGGTTCGAGAGCCAAAGGAGAAAAGAGAGAGGTAGTGATTTGGGCCTGTGAGAGAGATGTAGAAGAGAGAGAGGCAAAGGGAGAGGGGGAGGGAGAGAATGCATACCAGTGTCTAGGAAGGCGTCGCTGACAGTGGTGTTGAATCAATGATTTCAGACGATGGTTCCCAGATATGTGTGTCATTGGTTCCTGGATGGTTCCCAGAGTGTGCGATTTTCAGACGATGGTTGAATCCACGCATGTTCCCGAATTGTGGAGGAAAGGGCATGGTATGTGTGTGTCGCTGGTCGTTGGAGAGAGAGAGAGAGAGAGCTGGTCAGAGAGAGAGGGGGGAGGTAGCATATAGAATTAGGCTAAGGAGAGAGAGTCCCGTAAGAGAGGCAGTAATGGGCGGGGATCTGAAAATTGGTGAGTTAATATTAACCCTTAAATTAAAATTTGTGAAATTTGGATAAATCTGAACCACGAAAAGTAAAAGTCATTTTTTATATCTTTTGAGATTTGAAATGTTCTTTAGATTTGCATGTTTACCATTGAATAAAGACTATCTCTCTCTCTCGTGTGTGCACACACTTTCCAATTTTACATGAATGAGTCCTGATATTATGACTCTTGAATCATTTGTATTGGTTCCTTTTTCCCAGTTTCACTCATTGTGAGTTCTTTGACTCTTGTTGCACTGGTTCTTATTTACAATACATTTGCGGTTTCATTAATGGGATTGTGGCTTCTAAGATGTTATCATAATAGCTAAGATTGATTTTTGAAGATTGTGTTTTTTTGCGTCTATAGCGCATTTTCTGGGAAAACAAGATGAAATTTTGAAGTGGATGTTTGGTAATGCTTATTTCCAAAAGGCCCCCCCCCCCTTTTTTTTTCCCCTTTTTCTCTTTCAACTTTTTATTTCTTGTATCGTTTCTCCTTGGAGACTCTGATTGCCTGCTCTGGTGTACTATCTATTGAAGCAATTGTTTTTCTGGTGACCATTTTGTTGCCTTCTTGATGAGGTTATTTTGTTTTCTTATCTCTCTGTCTCTCTCTCTCTATCAGTTTCTAATGTCTTTTATGTTCTCTGTTTATTCTTTGGTTTCACAAAAATTATCCCTCTTTTTTTGTGTTATTTTTTACATTTGGACCTTCTGTCCTCAACACTTTGCTTGCTTGCTCCTAAATACTCTCTTCAGTGTCATAGCCTCGCTGTGAAGCGTACTGCTTTTTCCTTTGCTTTGCTTTTTTCTAAAATAGTCCTAATGCATCTCAGAATTCAGAAAGCGTCCCTGATATATCATTGCTTATCACTCTTAAATGAACTAACTTTTAAGGATGTGATTGCAGGCAGGCGTGATTGAAGAGATTGTGAATGATGCTGTTGATACTGCATTGGATTCAGAAGATATTGAAGAGGAAATCGAAGAAGAAGTTGACAAGGTACTAACCGCGATAGCTGGTGAGACTGCTGCACAGCTTCCAGAAACAGTCAGGAAGGAGAGGTTAAAGCAACCTGCCCAGGCACCTGAAGATGCTGAGGTATGGGTGAAACATATGGCATACAATGCTTTGCAATAATGGCTGGTCTTTTCTACCTTGAAGTAAGGTAGAGATTAATTCTTTTTTTTTTGAAATTACAGGAAGAGGGTGTTGATGACGAGGAAGAATTAGAAGAAATAAGGGCCCGTCTAGCGAAAGTTAGGTCATAATTTGAGCCTCTCAGTCTCTTCTTAGTTTTTCCTTCTCACGGCATCAAAACAAATGGGGTCAGTATTTAAACTTGCAGATGCTTAGTATGAGGTTGATGCAGTCAACCTGATTCATGTCTTATAGCGGAAGGTGAAATTATCTGTAATATACAAAAATCAGCTCTTGTATAAAATCACGAAACACTGGCTGTAATTGCTTTATGCAATTTCTATACAAATTGCCAGTTTTGGAGTGAGTCAGGTGTGTGGTTTTCCAGAGGTGTCCGCATTATAGATCTGTAAGTGAAACATTATGAAGTCTCTGTTTTCTTTTTTGGGTGAAGTCTCTGTTATTAAAGAAGAAAGACTCAACTTTTATGGCTGAGACTTTGCATTATCACTTACAAGGGCCGTAAGATCTGGAAATTAAAGCCCTGGAAATACAGGACTGAGGCTGGACTGTCTTTATAACGAGGTGGAGAGGGAAGTGAATACCAGAATACACAAATCTTGTGGAAAAGAGGCGTGGAGTTTTGCTGTCCAATCGAGGGTTATATGTGAATTTTTAGACATCATTTCCTTGCAAGACTTGTTTTTAAGAGTTGAATTCTGTGGTCACTCCATCGGAAAGGCCAGCCAAGGTTTCCCTAACTAATTCTCATAATATGTGGTGCCTGGCTCCACTCTTTTTGTCCACCAAAGAGGACAAACACGACAACACAGCTTAGCCATTGCCTTATTTTGTGCCATACTAATTTAAAAACGTCACAACCAACCTCCGGGTTTTGGACTCAGGCGGTTTCGAGTGGCCTCCAAAAAATACATTAAAGTATGTTCGGTTTCAAAATTAAGGGTGGAATTAGCCTAAAGTATTTCTGTGGTAACTTAGTACCAAATTTTAGATCATAGTTTAAGCCCTCTTTTTTTGTGAATTGTGTTAATACCGGCCCTTTGTTGTGGTGTGCAAAAACATCACAGAAACACCACATACATGGCATGAACTAATCCATATAGAATCAATCTCGATAGGGATTTGATTAGAAATGACCAGACTGTCAATTATATTTCCAAAACTTTCCTTTTCCAAACTTGGTTTTGCAAGGGATTGTATGAAAAAGTGCTTTGGCCTCTTTTAGCTCAATACCATCTGTTACTCTATAGTCCAAACATGGTAAAAAGAGGTACTCAGTGTACGAGGTCTTCATTATTATAGGGTTTTAAAAGGGTTAAATGTATATGGTCTTATCTCGGCAAGCAATGAGACTATTTTTACTACTTGAACCCATGACCTTCACAGGTCACAATAGAATAATCTTACCATTGCGCTAAGGTCCACCCTCTCCACCACCAAGTGGGGTATCGACCAAAAGGTCGGAGGTTCGAGTCTAATATTGGGGCTCAGTAGTTGACCGCTATATTAGTCTAATTAAGTTCGTTTCTTAGAGGTGTAACGGATGCAGAGATCTCATGATCCCACCAGTGAGAGCCTATCGATGTGGTCTTTGAGCGTTCTCCTTTGTCTACACGTTTTTTCCGCTTATCAAAAAAGAAAAAAAAAAAAAACAAAGCCCACCCTCTTAGTACTAAAACAATTGCCCCACATCTTATTTCAATATTAGTCCGAACACGATATAAACAAAATGGTACACCAATCGTTTGATATATTGTATTTAATTGTCTAATCTCATCTTATATTATACTTAAACAAACGCTTAGTTTTAGTTTCAGTTTTACCATTGCACTACCATTGCTTTATGAGTGCACATCAATTGCGTGTACGGTTTTTGAGGGTACAAAACTCATGTTATGGCTTAGAAGCTACATAATGATTTACTCTGGTTGGCCTGTCCATGCTCTGCTTGGATATGCCAACCTATTAAGTAACCGCACCAACAACCTCCCCTTAGATCCCTACGTTTCTTATGATCCAAATTGTAAGATAAGCAACACGGCAATGCTACATCTGTTAGACCTTTTTCATTACTAAAAAATTTAGAAGAGTCTTTATGATCCGATTATCTCAATTATTTGGGATGTAAAATTTTAAAAATATTGAGAAGTGTATTGTTCAATAAGTCCTACAATCATTGAACAAGATAAATCATATTGGGACTATCTCGGGTATTTATTGGTGAAATTTGCAGACTGTGGGTTTCGAAAAATTTATCTGATATTCGAAAAGGCCTAGTTAACAATATAATCACACACATTACATATATGGACTGGACTCTCTCTCTTTCTCTCTCTCTACAATCTTGAAAATATAGGATAAAGAGCAAAAGAGTAATAAGATTGTTATGCCTTATATGGGTGAAAATATTCTGTGTAACAATGACACTGCACTATCACCGTTACGTGATGTCACTATATAATAACAAAATGACAAATTAACAAAGTTAATGACCACCACCGAATAGGGTGATCCAGTAGAGTACCGGTTGAACTTCTTACCCTGAAGTTGGAGGTTTGAGTCTTGAAGTTCATATTAGGGGTTCGGTGGGCTATGTTAGCCTAGCTAACTTCGTTGCTGATAGGAGTAACGGGTGTGTTCAAGAGTCTCATGATCTCACCAGTGAGGGTTTATGGATGGTCTTTAAGCGCTCTCCTTTGTCCCTACCTCTTTTTTAATGAGCCAAAAAAAAAAACACGTGATTATTTTCAATTGAATGATGACACCACGTGGTGTTACCGTTACACTAATTATTTACTGAACCAGCCACTGCGGCAGGAAGACACTATTGTGGTCCTATAATTATGAAGGAAAAAGAATAAAAGAGTGATTGAACAAATACAATCTTGGTAAACAATTTACAAGTTGGAATGATTCATGGGTTGCCCAAGAAAGTGAAATTCTATGTTAGCGACAAAAGTCCTTTCTGCCAAAACTGTCTGATTAAAAGCTACATCCACTAAGACCGATTAAAAGCCATTGTCGAAGTGTTGGGTTTTAACTTTCCAAATGTTTTCAAACTTACTCAAAAAGTTCGTGCCAACACATTTCTGGTATAACTGATCAACTTGGATATGTTTTCAAACTAGTGAATCTTGTTAATGATCGAGGGATCTAAGAACATTAGATTCATTGTATAGCACCAATAAGTTTATGTAAATTGAATTTGATGGTTCAAAGAACAACTCCCAAGCGACTAACATGAAAAGTTCAGTTGATGTCTTGATGCAATGTTAAAGATGGAATTAAAGAGGGAACTTGTCTAAATCATACCGTACATAAAAGGGTTAAAGGGCTATACTCCATTATTCTCCATAACAAAATATACAGGTTCATTTTCCTTGGGGAATACATGAATATATATGAGCAAGAGGGGATTAACATGAGTAGGAAAATTTATAGTGTTTTGATGATCCGATATCCTTTGATAAATTTTTACTCGATATTTTTTTAATAGTAGATCGCCCATCATGAATTCAGTTGTATAAGATCCAGTATATTTAAATGGATCCCGCACCAATACATAGTATGTGATCTAAACAATCAAGAAAAATTAGAAAAAAGCATGGGAGAATATTCGTGCTTTAATAGTGAGATAAGAGAAAGGAATGACATAAATGAGAGGAATAAAAACAGACACTCGGGAATGAGAAATTGCTTTAGTTTTATTACAAATTCAAATATCTTCTATAAATTTTCACTCCCTTTTTTAAATCATAGATTATCCATCATAAATTCGTGTGAAATTTACAATATATAGATAGATTCTCCACTAATAAATAGTATATAATCTAGGATTATGATAAATTAAAAAAGTCAATTTTTTTTGGTTTAACAGTCAGGGTCAACTTACTTACGTATATCTCAACTTATTCCTCCTTGATTTGGTAAAAAACAGGTTATTCACAGTAAGATTAAGATATTTATGAAAGATAAATCTCTCATGGTCTGGTTTAAAGAGTTTATCAAGATTTGAAATTAAAACGTCTGGATTTACAATTCGTCTTTATTACCACTTGGACTATCTTTACATTAATTAAAAAAATAATTTATTAGAAAAGAATATGTTTTTTTTAATAAATAAATAGATATTTTGAAAATCAGAAAAGTTCAAGAATAAATAAATAGTAAAGAAAAGAAAAATAGCGTTGTAACAAACTAACCGTTAAAGCCACCTACGCACGAAATCCCACTAGCTGCTTTCCTCTCTTTTTCTCTCTCACACACACACTCCACCTCCTTGTACGCATTCGCAGCCAATTCGGTTGCCTGAAAGCCTATAAATCTCACCACGCAAGCCTTCATACCTCTCTCAGAGACAAACCCAAAAAGATCACATCAATGGCACCAACTCTTTGTCACTTCATTCTCTCTCTTCTCTTCCTTGGTCTTCTAAGTCCCGCTTTCTCATTAGAAACAATTCATAATGATGACGATCTTCTTCTGTCGTCAATTCTGCAATTTCCCAAAACACAAGCTCAAGATCTAATCAGAGCGCTCAACTTGTTCCCCAAACATGACGTTAATACTGCTCAGGGTGACCATTCGGTCACTGCTCCAAGGATTGTCGAAAAGAGTTTCAAATTCCCTTATCTTGGTGATTTTGGAACTTCTGTTAAGGATTTGGGTCATCATGCCGGTTATTATCGTCTTCTCCATTCCAAAGATGCAAGGTATATATATCTTGTACCCTCTATAAGTACTGTTGATCCTGTAACTGAGCAGCATGCAGTTTTCTTATGATTTAACGATCTATGAAACATTATGTTCTGTTTTGCCTAAATTAATTATTTGATATTAATTTGTAAAGTAAAAAGGTATGATTATCTATTATTTAGTGCTACTTTTAATTGGTACGGTTGAGTTTGGATTTTGAAAGATGAAACAGGTTAAGTTTTTAATGATATAGTGGTACTAGTTATTGTCTGTGCCTACAGAGTAATAAAAAATAAAAAATAAAAAATAAAAAATATATTTGTATTCATATCCAAAATTAAATCGTAAATATAAAGAAGAAATAAAAGAACTTATATATCGATTTGTAGTGAGGGTTGAGAGATAGTGGGCGGTAGTGGTGGTGGTAGGTGACAAGAATAGTTGCGGTGGCGGTGGCGGTGGTGGTGGAGGTGGTGGTGATGGCGGCGACGGGGACGACGGTGGTGGCGGTGGCGGTGGCAGTGGTAATGGTGTGGGCGACATAGGGGGGTGGCGGTAGTGGCTGTGGTGGAGGTGGTGGCGACGGTGGTGGTGGTGATGGTGACGGTGGTGGCGATGGTGGAGATGGCAGTGGCAGTAGTGGTGGCAGTGGTGGTGGTGGTGGTGGCAGTGCAGGTGGAGGAGGCGGCGACGGTGGCGGTGGTAGAGGTAGTGGTAGAACGGTTCAAAATAATATTTTTTTTTAAGTATTTATAAAAAATAATTTATAGAAACACTTTTAAAAAATTACTCCAAACACATTCTTAGAGGCCTATTTTTTTTTTATTAAATTTAGAATTTTAGTGTTAGTCGTTAGATTAACTTAAAAATAAAATTTAAAACGATCTCAACCGCGAATAGTAAAAATTATTTTATTTATCTCTTGAGATTTGAATTATAAGCCTACTTTATTATATAGATAGCTTCATGTCCCATTTGAATTGCCGAAAGTTGCTATCTATTTCTCAGACAAATATCTTGAAGATTTCAATTCTACTGATTCATTGGCTTTCATTCATGTTGTCCTCTACCACAGTAATTGCGTTTTAAACTTACTGGTAACTCCTTTTTCATGTTCGATTGGTTACTAGCTGTGTGTGTGAAATATCAACTATACTCTGAATGTGAAATCTTCACTAATACTATTTAGACCTAATTTGTTAATTTAATCTATCACAATTATTGGATTGATAATAAGTTCTAAAAAATACTTGCGTGGCTCGAGTTTTGAAAAATATTAAAAGTATTTTGCCCTATATGAGACTTTGATGATAGATTTATATCCACGGAGTTGCTGAACACAAAAGACAGCCTAGAATTTGATGATAGGTCTATAGCCACGGGGTTGCTGAATTCATACTTAATGTTGTTTCTATTTTTACCCAGTTGTTCTGTTCTTGGTGAAGGGAAAATTTGCTAAATAACTATCCACAATAATGTTTGCAGGATGTTTTACTTCTTCTTCGAATCGCGGAGCAGCAAAACGGATCCGGTTGTTATATGGTTGACTGGAGGTCCTGGGTGTAGCAGTGAACTGGCAGTGTTCTATGAAAATGGTCCTTTCCACATAGCACAAAACATGTCTCTTCAATGGAATGACTTTGGTTGGGACCAGGTGATTTTGTTTTCAACAAAAGAACATATTCAGTTTGTTTTCTTGGTTAAATGAATATTTCCATAAAAGAGTCTACAGGTAATTAGGAATACAATTTTTATTACCTAACTAGTGTCAACAAAATTTACTCAAAATTTCTCAGACAAATTCGTCAAGTTAAGTTTTTTTTTTTTTTTTTTTTTGCAAATTTATGATGGCATTCACCACTTTTGTGAATTTGGCAGGTATCAAACCTTATATATGTCGACCAGCCTACTGGAACTGGTTTCAGTTATAGTTCCAACGATGAAGATATTCGACACACTGAAGAGGGTGTGAGCAACGACCTATATGACTTCTTGCAGGTCTACTGTCTACTATAACGTTCATTTAAACTCCAGACGAGAATGAATTACTGAAATTGAACTTACTAGGATTCGTTTGGAAATGAATCTGGGCTTAGACTGAACTAACTGTCCCTGTATTGACAGGAATTCTTCAAGGAGCACCCTCAATATGCAAAGAATGATTTCTACATAACTGGAGAATCATATGCTGGACATTACATTCCTGCTTTTGCTGCTCGGGTTCATCAGGGAAACAAAAATAAAGAAGGGATTCCGATAAACTTGAAGGTAAGTTACGAATCTTAATGGGAATTAGTTAAATTCAAGTCTTACAGCTTAATTTACTTTATCTTGAAATGGTTGGGCAGGGATTTGCTATTGGTAATGGGCTAACTGATCCTGAAGTCCAGTACAAAGCCTATACTGATTATGCTTTGGACATGGGATTAATTAAGCAATCCGATTACAACAGGATTGGCAAGTTGGTTCCAAGATGTGAACAGGCAATAAAACTTTGTGGTAATTCAATCTATCTATTCTTTATTAGTGATACGATCTTTTACTCTCTTGACTTGCGTAATATCATCAGGAAAGACCCTAATAATTATCCAACGAAATTATTTTCTATCTTGTTTTTTTACCTTGTGATTGGCCAATACTTTGTGGTTCACTGAATAGTAGTTCTGCCTCAGGCTCTGATGGTGGAAACTCCTGCATGGCTGCATATCTTGTTTGTAATTCCATATTCAATAATATTCTGAGCGTTGCTGGCGACAGAAATGTAAGAAAGCACAAAAACATTAATTCTTTCATCTATCCGGTAGCATAATATGTCAAAGATGCACCCAATTTTCAACCATGACAAGCATTTCTGCATCTTTGGTGTGCAGTACTATGATATCAGAAAGAAATGTGAGGGAGACCTGTGCTATGACTTTTCGAACATGGAAAATTTCCTGAACCAGAAATCAGTCAGGAATGCTCTGGGCGTCGGGGATATTGAATTTGTTTCTTGTAGTTCGACAGTGTACGATGCCATGATCATGGACTGGATGAGAAATCTTGAAGTTGGTATTCCTTCACTTCTAGAGGATGGGATCAAGTTGCTTGTATATGCTGGAGAGTATGATCTCATATGCAACTGGCTTGGTAAAGCTCCTTTCATCTTGGATCCCACTCAACAGTATCTATTAATCTCCAGCTGTATTTATTCTGGACCTATAATTTTACAAAGACAGCAGTTTACAATCATGCTTTTGTTTCAATTTTGAGCAGGGAACTCAAGATGGGTTCATGCCATGGAATGGACTGGCCAGAAAGAATTTGTGGGAGCTCCCTCGGTTCCATTTTCAGTTGATGGTGCAGAGGCGGGACTGATGAAAAACCATGGGCCTCTCACTTTCCTCAAGGTCTCTCTCACTCTCTCCCTCCCTCTAGTTGCTCTTTTTTGTGTTTCATTCGTTGGTCTAGTTGCATATTCTAAGTTTACAAATTTCTTGTCACTTGAACAACAATCAGGTCCATGATGCTGGCCACATGGTTCCCATGGATCAACCTAAAGCTTCACTTCAAATGCTGAAGAGATGGACAGAAGGCAAACTTTCTATGACCGAGGAAGAAGGTGGTCTTGCTCCCCTATAATTGCACGAAGAACACTAGCCCTCCTACTTTTCTGTCATAGCTTTTCAGGCCCTTGCTTCTTTCCTGATTGGTGCATAGGCAGAAATATTTATCATATGCTTGTGTATAGGTGCCTGATTTTGATGCATTTGTAGTTATTTGCCAACAATCTATTTCACACAGGAAAAAATATCCACATTAATGATTGATGCCAGTATCAAGCATAAGCAAAATTTGTAAGATTGTTGTTTTCCAGTTCCCTTTTCGGGTTAACGCCAACAATTAAACCCTGAATCAACCCCTGCATGTCCCATGTAAAGGCTACGGATGTTTTGTCAAGAGAAATTGTTCGAACATTAGGAAGTTTCATCTAGAGAACAAATAGCCATCAAATGTTGTGCTATTGGCATATAGAACTTTTCTTTAGGTTTTGTGATGGGAATCAATAGCCTAGAAAACTAGTCATCCTTGCAACTTTAAGCAACAATTGACCATCTAGGAATACTAGAGGATGGGGAATTCACCAACATTTACCAAACATAATCAACTTTTATTTCAGAAGATTTGAGGGACAGTATTGAGTTCTCTAAAGAACTATTTGCTACCTAGAACACCAAGGAGAGAATTTTGCATCAGGCGCCCATGTATGTAAACATCGCCCAGACAGACGAAAGTTACAAGGTTCCCTTCAAACCAAATTCTCCTGGTCAGCCACTGGCAGGAGGCATTCTATTATGCTTTGCATGAGCTTTACTTTCTAGTTAATGCATCTCCAGCATTATCTCCAGATATGATAGGGAGCATGTTTAGGTCCAAACTCGAAACCCTCAGATTGAAATGGTACACACTTCAGTAATATGAAAATGCATCAACTAAATATATATATCGAACGTGTTTAGTAAGCACCAACAGAATAATCCAATCATTTGGAGGTTGGATAACATGGTGCCTAGGTTTGAGAGAATGAAATTGCAAACATGTTTGGCATTACAGCCATTACTGATTGCCTAAAGTTGGGAAGAGACGTGGTCACAAGTATACTGTGTTATGTACTAACCTCAACAACACCAACACTCAGCTTCATGCTCTCATGACAGAATCAATAGCCAGAAAAGAAACTTTTTCCGGTTCTAAAGAGGAAAGTGATCAGTAAGATTGATATCAACCAAGAGCAGAAATCATATGGTGAACAATTTTAAAATTTTCAATTTACAGCCCTCTGAAAACAATCAGCATACAAAAACTGAAAATCAGAGTTTTTAGAACTACATCTTGCAGGAAATGGCATATGCTTGCAGGCAAAAAGAATGATTGTTTTAGGCCTTGAATCACAGTAGGTATATGCAAGCATGAAGAAGAAGGCCACTAACCAACTCTTACACCATACAATTCCCTCAAGGTCTCAATTGCCGGCCGAAAACCAGACCACAAAGGAACAACTGATACTACCCGCAGATGCTGTGCATTTCCATTCTTTGGCTTTGATAATGTCACTCTCAAAATCTCTCCCTCCAGAATTTTACCTGCAGTTACAGCTACACAAAACATTCTCCAATCAGTTACAAGAGTCAAAAACTGTGCTGCACAATTAATTGGTCCAGCATGACTATGAACACTGGGGACGTTTGGAAACAAGCTTTGCAAAAGGATGACTTATTCTAGACCTATGGGTTTATCTGAGATAGTTAACCCCATCACGAGTGAGTGGAGGCCATCATTTTGAATCTCTTATCTAGATGTTGTACTAATAAAAATCAAAACCATAAGGATTCTTTCCAGCCATGAGTTCTCCTATGACATACGCGCTCGTGGGTAAATTTTAAAAAAGGATGACTTATTCTGATGGTCACTTACACTAAAAAGTAGATTTTGTTAGAGTTTCTGCGTTTAAGAAACCAAAACAGTACACAATAATTATTTTACTTCATTCCCTTATATTCAATTTTCACAGCAACCAATCAGTCACCAACAACACAGAAAGAAACCAGACAAATATAAAGTATGAAGCAACTGGATTAATCAGGGGATCAATAGATGTATCTACAACAGAGACATGCCTTACATAGACCACAAATAGATAAGCCATTTTTCCCACTAGAAGTTGATTCCAAACAAACCCTAAAGGTTAAATAACATTTCCATTCAAAATGCCTCAAAATTCCAACGAAAAATCTAGAGAATGTAATTGAAGTGGGTACCGTACCAGCAGAAGGATGACTCTTTGCAAAATCAAAGAACTCATCAGCAGAGCAGCCAAACAGAACCCTAGCTGCCCTATCAAACATTATCACCACAAACACCTTTGTATCCGACGCTATAGACACCTGTAAAAAGAACAAATTCACGAATCCATAATAAACATTTTTCAAGAAGTAATTTTCTCAGGAAACAAACAGAAATATAGATTTGTTACTACATACAAGGAGGCGAAATAGGCGTTTGGATCCGGAGGAACCTGGGTTAAAGGCATTGTTGAAGTGGCAGCAGTATTTGCAGAGAGAAGAAGAAGAAGAATTGATGTTGTTGTCAGGGAGAGTTTTTTCACAGACAGAACACACTCTGTAAGAAAAGTTGGTGTGATCGATAGCCACCACTGTGCACATCAGTGTTGTGGGCTTATCACCTTCCATTGTGATTGTGGACCTTTCTAGGGTTTATGTTTAGGGTTTTCAAAGGATCCTTCGGTTCCCTGCCCTTCATGAGTTTGCCAAAATTTTCACCACCCCTCGTCTATTTTCTTTTCTTTTTTAATTCTTACACACAAATTTAAGGGTAAACTGCACCAATAACCCTGAGATTTATCATATATTTCACTTTGGTCCCTAAAATTTTAATTTCATCAATTTTGTTCATAAAATTTGAACATGGAGCTACTATGGTCTTTGACATTAATTGCCGATAAAAAAAATGACGAAAAATATTACGTGCATATCACATCAACTCTTAAGGGATATTTTTTGTAATTTACATGCAACTTGAGGGTGACCAATGGGATTTTCTTAAGGGTGATAAACATGCTTTTAAATCAACGATATTCTTTATTTTACAAAGATTTTATTTTCTTAAAGTCAAGAATTCAAATTTCTTCCATGACAAAAGTGTGGCTAGTTGGCAAGACAAATTTCAATTACTTGTGATGATGCACAAATTAGTTTGCACACCACTAGTCAAAGTTGTAGTATAAAATGCAGTAAGTAAAATGAAGGAGAAGACATGATTTATAGTAGTTCGGTCAATACGACCTATGTCTACTTTAAATAGCTAGGTTCGCCAGAATTTTATTATCTCCGATGTGGAGGGAGAACACATGATTACAAGCTTTGAGAGGGGAATAGAGAAATATGCCCAAATGAGTCTGATCTGGCGGAGATGACCTATCATCTTTTCAACGGCGCGAGGTGTGACGGTTGGTGTGCTCTCCAAAGGACTTGTCCAAGGATGAGGAAAGTTGACTCTCTCCATGCTGCGAGGGTAAAGCTCTTGGATGCTCCCTTGGTGGTGCGGGTGAGGTTCCTAAATGCTCCCTTGGTGGCATAGAGGAGACCATTGGATGACCCTTACTCCAAGGTGGTAGAGGACACCCTTAAATGACCCTTTACTCCAAGGTAGTAGAGGAGGAGACTCTTGGATGACCTTGCATGCTCCTTGTTGATGTAGTAGCTCATTGAGCCTGATAAACTTGACTGGGTTGATCACATTGGGTTGAATTTGTTGGATCTCTTGGAGTCGGGTTATAAACTCGGACCAGGCTTATCACACAAGTTGGGCCTGACCCATCATTTGCCAACAAAATTTGGAAAAGAAGGCATTTAAGTTAAATTTTGAATTTTTGGCTGACCAGTATAACTAGAAAAATTTTGGGAAGTCAAAACATCCGTTTATAGGCCTTTTTTGAACTTTTAACAGCATCATTCATAGCCATGGGCTGTGAGTATTATAGGGCTCGCCGAGAGTTTCGATTTTATATATTATAAACCTTGTTTCAAGCAACAGAGTAAAAGTTACTGTCAAAATTTCAAGCAGAGAGCTAGACGAGCAATTTGGGCAAGCAGGTAGCTGTCTAGGCGAGCAGAGCACTATTCTAGGCGAGCAACATTGTTCTAGGTGAGCAAGAATTTTATTTTTTAACTTCTGGAGGTCAAAACACCTCTTTCTGAACTTTTTTGAAAAGCTTATTACCAAAGGTAATAAGTTTTGCTCAGCTCGTCGAGAGCTTCGATTTGGTATATAATAAGCCTCATTTTAAGTTTCAAACCAAAAGTTACGGTCAAAATAACGAGCAGGGAGCCAATGACGCATTTTTGGAGAACAACCAGCTTTTGGGCAAGCAAGCCACCTCTGGCGAGCATACAACTTCCTGGACAATTTTTTTTTTTTTTTAAAACTTTGGAAGGCCAAAACACCTATTTCTGAATATTTTTTGGATTCTTTTTGGAAAGCTCATTACCAAAGGTAATGTGTTTTGCTCAGCTCGTCAAGAGCTTCGATTTAATATATAATATGTCCTGTTTTGACTTACATAACAAAATTTACAGCCAAAATAACGAGCAAACACACTGGCGCATGGTTTTGGGCGAGTAGACACTGCTCTGGGTGACCATGCAGCTGGGCACGCTGTTTTGGGAGAGCAAAAGGCCTTGGACGCTTTTTAGGGTACTGACTTGAGGAACTTGGGCGAGCAAGAGGCCTTGGGTGAGTTGGGGAATTGCCTAAGCGTCATTCCAGGTCGTCTTGAGGAGCAGCCTGCTCGCGTAGGAGGGGTGGTCTGGCGTAGAGATGGGAAGACAGGCACCAAGAAGGGCCTGGGCGCCTGCAAGACTACTTCGCTTGTATGAGCAGAGAGGGCCATACACCTCTTTAGGCACTAGGCTGCCCATTTGGGCGAGTAGAGGGGGTCAGACGCCTCTCTAGGCATTGGTTTGAGTAGTGCAAGCTACAAGAAAATTTTGGATGCCATTTTTGGTGATGATTCGAAGAGTTCAGGTAGCCAAGGAGCTTTGGATGCCCCTGTAGGGAGTTCAGTTTTTGCCCATGCAGGCGGGGTTGCCCAGAAATTTCTTGGTGAGCCTGGTTCTGGAGCCCGGGGGCAGAGTACGCCAGACATTTTCAGCGGTGATGGTCCAGCTCTTCTCAGTGCACCTTCTCAAAATTAAATTCTTCCATGATATTTTGAGGATTGTTTCTACTTATCACATCCCCCAATTGTTCTATGTTGTCGAGCTGAGATGGGTGGACCTGCTTATGATGATAAAAATAATGTTATTCCAAACATTAAAATATTTAACATGATTTCCTGAAGAGCGAGGCAGGCTACTTGCGTGAGAGCAAGACAGAGTTTGAGGATTACTCGTGTGAGAGCTATACCTTTTGAGACCGAGTTTTTGGAGACCTATAAGAGAGTTTTTAAGCTTGAGGTATAGGTTACTTGCTTGAGAGCAGAGCAGATACCAACCTTTTTTGGCGACTCGTTAGAGAGCCGGGAGATAAACTGCTTGTTTGAGAATAGCGCAGAGATCAAGCTTTTTGGCGACTCGCGAGAGAGCCGTTAAGCTGGAGATAGACTACCTGTTTAAGAACAGTGTAGAGGTAGGTCAAATTTTTTGGCGACCCTCGAGAGAGCCGCTAAGCTGGAGATAGACTACTTGTTTAAGAACAGTGTAGAAGTAGGCCAAATTTTTTGGCGACCCTCGAGAGAGCCGCTAAGCTGGAGATAGACTATCTGTTTAAGAGAGAGAGTTGTTAAGTTGGAGATAGACTACCTGTTTAAGAACAATGTAGAGGTAGGCCAAGCTTTTTGGTGACCCTATAGATAGCCGCTGAGCTAGAGATAGACTACCTATTTAAGAATAGTGTAGAGGTAGACCAAGCTCTTTGGCGACCCTCGAGAGAGTCGCTAATCTGGAGATAAACTACCTGTTTAAGAACAGTGTAGAGACAGGTCAAATTTTGACAATCCGTGAGATGATTCACCTCGTCTGGACCTGTTGATTTTCTCAGCATTCATAAATTTTTGAACTTTTGCCAATAGTTTTGGCATACTCTTTGGTGGGCGTTTCATCACGGAGAAAAGGAAGATCGATGACCGAAGGCCTCCTAAGAAGGCGGGCATGCTGACTTTTTCATCAGACTCTTCGACCTGAAGGACCTCCTCATTAAAACGAGTGAGGTAGCTTCGCAGGCTCTTATCTCAGTCCTACTTTATGTTGAGCAGGTGGGTGGTAGGCTTCTGGTGACGGCGTCCTCCAATAAAGTGCAACACGAAGGACCTGCTCAGCTCAGTAAATGAGCCGATGGAAGTGGGGGTGATCTTGGCGAACCACTGTCGAGCGGATTCCTTTAAGGTGGTTGGGAACGCTCTGTACATGATTTTGTCAGGAACGTTGTGCAGTTGCATCAAAGTCTTAAAAGTTTCAAGGTGGTCCAATGGATCCTTCGTACTATCAAAGGTTTTGACATATGACATCTTGAATTTTTGAGAGAGTGGGTAGTTCACCACTTCAGGCTTGAAAGGTGTGTCGGTTCGACTTACAAGGTAATCCACTATCTCAAGTCCTTGTGCCTTCATGGCGTTGAAGACATCACTCAATTGATTCTACACCTCCTTAATTTTTTCGTCTCAATGATTAAGAGGAGGTCTCTTGAAATTACCATGGATATGACTCCTATGCTCCAATCTTTGGTTTTTACTCTCGTCCTCTTGGAAAAGAGGGTTTCCACCATGAAAAGAGGGAGCTAGAAGAGGAGGTGGAGGTCCCTTGTGCGGAGCTCCCCTGTGCAGGGCGCCTGAGGGGACTCCAAAGTGGGCGCTCAGATGAGGAGCACCCATGTAGGGAGCTCCTCTGACTTGAGGTCTAGGCTGTGCTCTTTCTCCTAGATGAGGAACACCCATATGGAGAGCTCATTGACACCCAAGGAGCATTAGTTGTAGGATCTGTTAGTTCTGGGCCGTAAGTTGCTACATGGTCTCTAGCATTTGCTGCTCATTTGGGGCAGGATTGGTTGGTTAAGGAGTAACCTCCTCCTCTCTTGGTGGTGGGTTATCTTCAAACTGATTTATGGATCTGTTGGTGATCGACTTTGACTCAGCAAAGACAAGTGGCTAGGTGAGAACTGTTGTTCCCACAGACGGTGCCAAACTGATGATGCACAAATTAGTTTGTACACCACTAGTCAAGTTGTAATATAAAATGTAGTAAGTAGAAGGAGAGAGAAGACATGATTTATAATGGTTCGGTCAATACGACCTACGTCCACTTTGAATGTCTAGGTTCACCGAAATTTTACTGTCTTCGGTGTGGAGGGAGAGCACATGATTACAAGCTTTGAGAGGAGAGGAAAGAATTATGCTCAAATGAGTCTGATCTGGTGGAGGCGACCTATCATCTTCTCAACGGGCGAGGTATGACGGTTGGTGTGCTCTCCAAAGGACTTGTTCAAGGATGAGGGAGGTTAAGTCTCTCCAGGCTGTGAGGGTGAGGCTCCTGGATGCTCCCTTGGTGGTGAGGGTGAGGCTCTTAGATGCTCTCTTGGTGGTGTAGAGGAGACCCTTGGATGACCCCTACTCCAAGGTGACAGAGGAAACCCTTGGATGACATTGTCTGCTCCTTGTTGATGTAGTAGCTCCTTGAGCCTGATGAGTTTGACTGGGTTGACCACATTGGGTTGAATTTATTGGATCTCTTGAAGTCGGGCTATAAACTTGGACCGGGCTTATAACACAAGTTGGGCCTTTGGGCCTGACCATCAACTTGGATAAATCGTATCTAAATTTTTGGTGTGGCTTCAAATCCCCACTGAAGTACAAGTCATGATTTGACTGATGTATGAGTTAAAAGATCGATTCATGCACTCGGTATTTGTCTTTAGTTTTACTCGGACTCACGAGCTTGAATGATATAAGTGCACCTCTACCCGCCGAGAATAGACTTAGAATTTCCTCCGTTACTGAAAAAAAAAAAAACATCGTTGAGGTGGTATGTTGCTAACAACTGCATATGTTAAACTTAAACCGTTGATCAAAGAAGGGGATAGCTAATGAAATACAAATTCAAACCAAAAAAGGGTGCTATTTTATGTCAAAAACGACGTAGAAAGTGACAAATGTACTATTAAGTAATGTTAAGATTCGAATCTCGTCACTATTGAACTTAACAAAATTAAATAAACTTTCATACCAACTATATAAAATGATGAATTACATGAATCATCATATTATGTTGCTACTCTTTCCATAGTCATATTTGTCTGTTATATTGCAACCTATCAAATTTTCACTATTACATTGAAAATTAATTTCGTTATTTCTCAATCCCTTTTGGTACTATTGATAGATATCATAGTATCAAGCATTCTTTAAACATATCCTAATCATTGAAGTCGATACATTAGAAAAACTCCATCGTTCAAACAAGATTGAAAACTGATCCATTACAATTGACCACAATATTTAGCCACAGAATTTCCAGGTCGTCAACCGACTCAAACCCAAGAGATTGAAAACTGTTCCAAGAATTCTGAATGCAGTACAATTTGATCAATAAAATGTCCAAAGTCTGAAAGGATAATGCATCTGCTCATTTCTTATCGATTCAGAAACAACCCACAGATTCTCCTTCGAACAGAGTACCTTGGTAGTTCAGTTCCACAGTGATCAAACTTCATCGCAATGGACACTGCCAGCACTTCCATGTTCAGCTCTTAGAAGTCCTTTTATAACCACACACATGCCCGAAACCTGAATTGGATTAAAAATGGCCCCATCAAAATTTGTTTTTTTTTTTTTTTTGGGTTGCGGGGGGGGGGGGGGGGGGGTGTTAAGGCCATCTGATAATGTCACTGGAATTCAGTTGAGGCCCCCATGGGAGGTATGATCTTGACCTATGAGCTGACTGATAGAATGGACATCTTACTCCATATGAGCTCTATATATGTTAGCCATAACTAGGAATCCCACAGTTCCCTGTCCAACCCCGCTGCCTCAAAGGGGCTTGAACTCCTGGCCTTTCCCATGAAAAATGCATAGCAATACCACCTAGGCTATATTCAGAACGCAAGGATTTCAGATCTCGTTCAAGGTGTCATTGTGACAGTCTCTAGGGTTGAGGTTATGAGGCACACATCATGGTATCAAAATAATTCGAATGTATCCTTTGTAAGAAAGCTTGTCAATTTACAATTGCTGTCCAAAAGAGCAGTTTTCTAGGTGAAAACAAAATTCAATTGTTTTTTCCCTCGGTTAATTAAGCGGGATCAATAGAAGTAGAGAAATCTTCAAGAACAGAAGTGCAATTCAGAGATGAAAAGAGAGATCAACAGCATTTTAAAGAATGGGAACAGAACCTCATGCAGGTTTACCCAAAAACACATACTTCCCAAACATTAGTGCATAAAATTGGCTAAAAAAGAAATAACAAGAATAAATAAAACGATTCCCCAACTATACAGTACTTCAATTACTTCAACTTCAGCTGTGCAACATCTAATACTTCTCTGTTTAATTCGAAAACCATTGCACTTGAAAGACCAACTTCGAGATTTATACAAAATTGCCCAATTTGTACTCTTCTTCACAGGGTGAGGTAGGCAATCAAAAAGAAGAATGCTTGGGAAAGCATCCAGTTGTGGTGGATCATAACAGCCCTATTTAGGATTAAGGAGCTTAACAGTTTCCCATGTAAAATTTGGGTCATCACGGCCAAAATGGCCATAAACAGCAGTCTTCTGATACCTGAAGTTGCCTCCTCTTTTCAAATCAAGATTGATTGAAACCATCCCTGGCTTGAAATCAAAGTTCAGCTTGATTAGAACCAGAATATCCTTGTCTGGAATCTTCCCCGTTCTGTAAGTGTCAACAAATACTGATAATGGTTCTTGCATACCTATTGCATAAGAATCTTGCACAATAAATCGACGGGCAAGCCCTGAAGTCACCACACTCTTTGCAGCCTGCCTGGCTATATATGCACCGCTACGATCCACCTTGCTGGGATCCTTTCCTGAGAAGGCACCACCGCCATGGGCACCCAGCCACCATGTGTCGACTATAATCTTCCTACCAGTTAGCCCTGCATCCCCACGAGGCCCACAAATAACAAATCGGCCTAATGGGTTGAGGTGAAAAATTGTCTTGTCGTCAATGTACTTGGAAGGAATGACCGGCTTAATCACATGCTCCTTTAAGTCCTTTCCAATTTGCTCGTTTGAGACGGTCTCATCATGTTGGGTTGAGATAACAACAGTGTGGACCTTCAATGGGATCATCACCCCCATCTCATTACTGTACTCAACAGTCACTTGGATCTTACCATCAGGCCTGAGCCAGGGGCAAGTTCCATTCTTTCTCACCTCTGTGAGTTTGGCTCCAAGTTTAGTAGCAAGAACATGGGTTAGTGGCATCAGCTCAGGGGTTTCATCGGTCGCATAACCAAACATGTGTCCTTGGTCACCAGCTCTAATCTCCTCAGGTTTCTTGGTGAAGTGACCATGAACAACCTGGGCAATTTCAGGGCATTGTTGTTCAATATTGACAAGAACCTTGCAACTATCGGCATCAAGACCAACTTCAGGAGACACAAATCCAATGCTCTGCACGTGTCGCGGACAATCTTCTCATAGTTCACCTTTGCCTTGGTGGTTATCTCACCAAGGATCATAACCACATTTGTTTCGGCACAGGTCTCGCAAGCCACTTTACTCTCAGGATCTTGCTCCAAACAAGCATCTAAAATTGCATCAGATATTTGATCACAAAGCTTGTCAGGGTGGCCTTCGTTAACAGATTCAGTGGTGAAGAGAAAACTATTCATCACTACATCGAGAAGAAGATAAATGTTGGCTAATCTTCAGTGAGTAAGAAAACATATTTCAGACTAACCCAATCATATTAAACTACTTTTTGTTGTTCAGAGACCAAAGTCGCACAAGTGAGGAGCAGGAGGAACCAAAGGGTGTGTTTGGAAAGGGTAGGATTTCTTTTTTTATATCCTAACCCATCCAACCCAAACCCACTCTTCCACTTTAAATCCAAGATGAGGGAGTATGTTCAATCCAAAACTTTGTTTGGGAAACAAATGTGTAATTGTGTGGGCCCCATAGATTACACAAAATATTTTGTAATAGTTTACCATTCTACCCATGATTCTATCCAATCCTATCCTATGTTTGGATTGATGGCAGCTTATCCTAACAAAATTAAACATTTTCTACATATACATAATAACATTTGACAAAAGGGATTCTCCCATTACGTTTGACATCCCAAAGGACAAAAAGAATAAAAAAAAAAAAGTGGCAGAAGGATGCAAGGTCTTCTAAACAAAGAAGAGGCACCAAAACAACAAAGTCCATAAGAGAAATTCTCCAACCAGCAGTCCAGAAGCAAGCAATACACAAAAATCTTTTGCATGACATATGTTGCACTTCCCAGTTCCTACACATACTTTTTTCCTGTGATGGCACTGAGAAAACTCCTATGATGGCAATGAACAATCAGCAAAAGACATACATTTAGACGATTAAATAAAAATTGAATAACATGTAGCTAAATGGGCTAAGAGCAAATAGATGCTTATGAGTGTAATCAATTAAGCACAACCAGACAAAAAAATAAGAGTTAACAAGACAGGCAATTCTGAGTTTGGTGTTAATCAAAGAAATTAGGAACACCCACATGATTTTTTTTTGCCTAAAACCAATTTTCTTCTGGGCTATGACTCATATTCGATTTGAACATGCAGAAGTGATCAAAAGTTCAAAACTTCATATATATAACCACTGTTATGCAATTTTTTTGTTAGAAGAAATCCCCTACTGCCCCACCCCAGCCCTCCACCCTCGGCTGCTACCTCAAAAACAGTTTAAAGAAGAAGAAGAAGAATTCTAAACAACCCACTCTCTCCCAAAGCCCTCAAAACCATTAGACCATCTCCGCCAACACCCCGGCTGCTGCATCAAACACAAAAACGAAGAAGAAAAAATCTAAACAACCCCATTCGCCAAAAGCCATCACAATCGTCAACCCATCCCCACCAAAAAGGGTAAAAAAAAAAAGCAATTTAGAACCCCTACGCCCCATCCCTCTGTTCCAGACCTGTTCGTCAAACAGAGGGTGAACGAAAGCAGATCTGGTCTGTCGGTGTGTGTTCTTCGTTCTGTTCACACAGAGAGAGAGAGAGACAGAGCGATGAGAAATTTACCTCAAGAAGAAGCTGTGTTCTTCGTTCTGTCCAGCGATGTCGTCTTCTTCGTCGACTCTGTGAAGAAGCTCTCACCCACAGATGCAAACAATTGGAGGACCTCCCAACGCCACGATCGTCTTCGCCTCTGTGCGAACCCTTTGGACGAGCTCAGCTGACAGGAGAAAGAGAGAGCGATGAGCGGCCGAGTGGGTGGAGAAGAAGAGAGGGGCAAATTCCTCAGACCGGCCTATGGGGTTAAATGTTACTATAGCAACCGGGGCCAAGTTTAATCTGGGATTGTTATCCAGTCTCAAAAACTACTCTCCGGATAAAGAATAAAATAGGGTCCAGTACCTTTTTTTTCTCTATTCTTACGGTGTTAATCTCCCTTATCGTATTATCCAAACACACACTTCGGATAAAGAACAACATTTAATGCTATCTATATTCATATTTAATATATGCCAAGGATATAAAACTATTTTGATAATATATTTATATATAAATAATTATTATATCCTTTAATCAATTTGTATGTATAAGATATATATAATATATAAGGGTATAATGTCATTTGTATGTTAAACCCTCAAACCCACAAATGAAACCCACCCCCTTGAGTTTCATGAAACCCAAGGGATGGGTTTTATGACTGGATTGAGTTTGAAATCTTATCCATACTTCATGGTTACCAAACGTAAATTTAAGAGAGTTTACTTCCTAACTCATGTAGCCAAACCCCCCAAACTCACGTACCAAAAAACCCATAAAGGTTTAATTCTCATCTCTTAGAAGGTCAACAAAAACAAAAAGAACAGAAAAATATCTTCAAAGATTTCGGACATTAATGGCGAATTGCATTTTACACCTTAAAAAAAAATTTAAATTAAATAACTCTTACTTTGTATTTTCAAATATTAAATTTCTCATATTGCACTACACCCCATTAATATATGAAAAGTGTTTTAATGTGGTATTTGTAGTTTTCATCACTCATCTTATCAACGTTGATGAGGTGATTTTTGACAAAATAAATCACGGAAGGCAACAAAATGTCACATTGTAATATTTTAAATATATTAAACGTGCAATGTAAAAAATTTAATATTTGAGAGTATAAAATAAATAAAAAATTTAAATCTTTCACAATAGAAAGTGAGATTCCCCGGACATTATTTACTCAAATAATCAATCAGTTTCATCAGCAACCCAACTACGGGTCCTGGAAACTAGAATTTCACGAGTACAATAATAATACATCATTTACTCCTTATTTTTGATGTCTTTTTTTTAGCATTACTCGTATAATAAAACCAAGTGATGAAAAGAACAGGAAAAAAAAATACATTTAGAGTCGTCCATAACAGAAACTTGTAACAGAATAATTCAAAAACAACAAGATATGAACAACATCCGAACATAAGAAACGTCTGAAACATTATATAATAGAATAGAATAGAATAGAATATATAGCCCATGCATACCTCTAACCTTGGGGAAAGGTTTATGTTGGACGATGAAGGTGTTGGATTCTTTGAAAAGGACAAGAATATAGAATCTTCTGACTCTCGCTCTAAACTAGTTGCACGTGTACTGTAACATCGTCACCACTTAAAGATGGTCAGACACAAATTGAGGCTTTAAACCAAATTATTATTATTATTTTTTGGAAAGAGATAGAGAATGTGAATCCTTGACTTTAAGAAGACAAAAATTTCACAAAAATAAAGAGTATCATTGGATTAAAGGTCCGTTGGTGACCAAATTATTAGATAAGACTCTAACAATCTATAATATAATAATACTAGTAGTTTGTCCCGTGTAATTCACAGGATTATAATTCATATTTTATTGTTATTATTTTATCACTTGAGAAGTTAAATAAATAATTATATAAAAATTTTGGGTAATAAAAAATATTTTTTTTGAATAAATTTTAAAGAATAGTGGTTAATTATTGAGGAGTACGTGGGTAATTACCAATGACATATGTATTGGAGAGAACTAAGTTTTGAATTAAAAAATTTTAAATTATAAGAAATTAAGAAATGAGGAAGGAAGACTTCTTAAGTCCTCTCACCTCTTATTTGATTGTTTTATATATATAGATAGATAGATATATGACTTACTAATAATTAAAATACTAATATATATTTATTTAATTTTTTTTTATTTTTGAGATATAATAAGTTATTTTAATATTGTCATTCAAATTTTGCAGATAGAAAATCTATTAATTGAACTTAAATTCGGTGACCAAAATATAATCAAGGCTTTTATCAATTGAAAAAATAGAGAAAGAGAATTAAATTTTATTGGTGATAGTGGCAATGGATGTGGTGGAGGGGGTGGTGGGAGTGGCGGTGGTCGAGGTGGGGTGGCAACGGTGGCAGTGACGGTGGCGGTGGTGGTGGTAGTAATAGGGATGGGTGGTGGTGCAATGGGGGTGGTGGTGGTAGGGGTGATGGTGGGACAGTGGTGGTGGGGGTGACGGCGGTGGTTATTGTGCTAGAGGTGGTGGTTGGGTGGTGGCGACGGTGGTTGTTGGTGGTAGTGATGGGGCGGTGGAGGTGGTGGTGGGGTGATGGGTGGGGTGGCAGTAGTGGTGGTAACAACAGTGATAGTGGTAGTGGTGGTTGTTGTGATGATGGTTGTAGGGGTAGTGGTGGTGCAATGGGGGTGATGGTGAGATAGTGGTAGTGGTGGTTGTTGTGATGATGGTTGTAGGGGTAGTGGTGGTGCAATGGGGGTGATGGTGAGATAGTGGTGATGGTTGTTGTGATGATGGTTGTAGGGGTAGTGGTGGTGCAATGGGGGTGATGGTGAGATAGTGGTGGTGGTTGTTGTGATGATGGTTGTAGGGGTAGTGGTGGTGCAATGGAGGTGATGGTGCGATAATGGTGGTGGTTGTTGGGTGGCGGCAACGGTGGGAATGGGGCGGAGGTGGTGGGGATGGTGGTGGTGGGTCAATGGTGGTTGTTATGGAAAATTTGGTGGTGGGGATGGTGGTGTGGTTATTGTGGAAAAAGTGGTGGTGGGGTAGCGACGACGATAGTTGTTGGTGGCAATGGTGATGGTGGTAGTGGGACGATGAAGGTGGTAGGGTGGCAACAACAGTGGTGGTGGTGATGGGGTGGTGGGTGGGGTGATGGCAGTGGTGGTGGTTGTGGCAGAGGTGATGGTAGGGTGGAAGCGGTGGTTGTGGTAGTGATTGTGGTGGGGCAGTAGTGGTGGTGGAATGATTTTAAACAATATTTTATTTTTAAAAGTACTTATGAGAAGTTATAAATCTTAAAAGTACTTTTAAAAATAAATTGTTTTAATATATTTTTTTATTTTTGAGATATAATAAGTTATTTTAATATTTTCATTCAAATTTTACAAATAGAAAATCGATTAATTGAACTTAAATTCGGTGACTAAAATATAATCAATGCTCTATTAGTTGAAAATATAGAGAAAGATAATTAAACTTTATTGGTGGTAGTGGCAATGGAAGTGGTGGTGGTGGGAGTGGCAGTGGTGGAGGTGGGGTAATGGCACTACAAGAAAAAATGGTTTTTACGGCAATAAAGTGTTGTAAAAAATCTATTTGCCATCACAAATACTTTTTGTGGTAACGTTGCCTCGTCATAATAAGTGTGGTCTCAAAAGATTTTTATGATAGCAACAGTCTGTCTCAAATAATATTTATAACGGCAAGATCCTGTCGTAAATAAGTTGCCATAAAAAATTTGACATTTTTGTTTTTATCACGGCGGTAAAAATGATGCCTCAAATACAATATTTGATGGTCATACAAAATAGAAGATATATTTACGACGGCAACGATGCCGTCACAAAAAAAAAAAATATATATATTTTTAATTATTATGGATAGTTCGTAACCAATATTATATACCCTGTGCATATATACACTCCATACAAATTTTTTTTGTGGGTGAGAGAGGGGGAAAAGGGACTTGAACCCTTGACCTCAAGAGGACAAAACTTTCACAATGTAAGGAGTACCATTGGACAAAATACCCATTCATATCCATACAACTACCCAATTTAATATATACATAAACACAGAAGTAAATATAATCAAAATTTCCAAAAACATAACAATATTTTCATATCAAAAAAAAAAAAAAATCTCACGAGTAAACAAAATATAAAATATGCACTTTTATAAAACATAATGACTTATGAGTAGAAGAAATTAATGCAACAAAGTTGAATATCTTTCCCAAACCATTTACTCTCTCAGTGACGTCTGAAAAAATTATAAAATTATTGTTACAATATTAAAATAATATTTATATACATATATACAATAAAGAACTAAAAAAAGTTAGAATATACATCAATAGAGGGCCACATAATATTTCTCTAAACGGCTTGTCCAATTATGTAATTGGTATATAAACGAGTTATATCATATACATTTCTTCTAATTAGTTTCACCAATACTTGATTCGTGACGGGTCCACTCGTTTATTAAACAGGTGGTTTAACGAAGATTCAAACACACTAATTTTATGTCGTATTAACAAGTCGTGTCATATTTTGACACTCCTAGTTTTGATATAAAAACTTGACTTTGTAGAGTTTAATTTTTTTTTCTTTGAACTAGAAATTGTCTTTTGATATTAAACTACGTAATTTTATAAAATATTACTTGTAACATGAAAAATAGTTGTGGTCAATACAAATATTATTTACAACGGGAAAAGAAACTGTCGTAAATATAAATTTTTTTTTTTGAATTTATAAAATATTATTTGAGATAGAAAAAACATTTGTCTCAAGTATAAAAATTTCTTTTAAGTTTATGACACTATTTATGGCAGAAAAAATAACTACCACAAATATTAACACAAACACGTTTTTTGTGACGACAAACACAGTCGCCATAAAAAATTGTCTCAAATACATCTTTTGTGACAACAAATACAACCGCCGTAAAAAATTTGTCACAAAAGACTCTTATTCTTGTAGTGTGGCAATGGTGGGAGTGGGGGTGGTGGTGGCCAGTGGCGGTGGGGGTGGTGGTGGTGTGGTGGGGTGGCGACGGTGGTGGTAGGGGTGATGGTGGAACAGTGATGATGGTTGTAGGATGGCGACAACGGTGATGGTGGTAGTGGGACAACGACAATGGTGATGATGGGGTGGCGGCGGTGGTTGTTGTGGCAGAGGTGGTGGTTGTTGTGGCAGAGGTAGTGGTTGGGGTGGTGGCGACAGTGATGGTTGGTGGTAGGGTGGCGATAATGGTGGTAGCAGCAATGATGGTGGTGGTGGTGGTGGTTATTGTGATGATGGTCGTGGGCG